GTAGGGAAGAATCCTTCCTTGCCTCTTTTGGCTTCTGGTGTTTGTGAGCAATCCTTGGTATTCCTAGGCTTGAAGAGGCATCTCTCTAATCTCAGCCTCCGTCATCACATGAACCTCTTCTCCTATTGTCTTTATCTCTGTATCTTTTCTCTTCTGCTTTAAGGATACCAGTCCTACTGGATTAAGGATCCTCTCTACCCCCATATAACCACACCTTAGCTAATTATTATAGCTTAAAACAACAAAACTTGATTTTTTCACAGTTCTAGAGGATGGAAGTCCAAAGTCAAGATAGAAGCAGAGCCACAGGCCCTTTGAAACCTGTAGAGGACAATGTTTCCTTATCTCTTCTAGCTTCTGGTGTTTGTCAGCAGTCCTTGGTGTTCCTTGGCTTGTAGTTGGCTCACTCCAATCTCTGCCTCCATCATTACACAGCCATCTTCTCTGGTGTGTCTCTATCTGTGTCTCTTTTTTTCTTCTTATAAGGACACCAGTCAGATTGGATTAAGGGCCCACCCTACTCCAGTGTGGCCTCATTTTACCTTAACTAATCACATCTGCAAATAATCCTATTTCAAAATAAGATCACATTCTGAGTTATTTTCTATTAGGGCTTCAAGTATTTTTTTGTGGCACACAATTCAAGCCATAACACGGTCTAAATTTCAGAATCACAATTACATATATTTAAGAAAAACTCTTCCAACTCCTATCATCAAGTCATTTATCTTATGTGGACATTAGGACTATTCTCCACAACAATAATCTTGAGAAAACAGAAAATTCAGGTTGAAATCCATTAGCAGTGGCAATAACTTAGTGACAGACAAGTACATATCATGATTTTAACTACTGTGTGTTCAATAGTCCAGTAGTGACAAGCCAGTAGGAAACTAAAATAATTTTTACTAAAATTCTGCTTTTTCAAATTATGGTAAATGAAATAAAATAGTGTCCAAAAATGAATTTGTGCTGTAGTTTATTTTTTCAGATTTAAAAATTTCTATCTTTTGGTTTCCCCTTCAGAGTCACAAGTTAAAAAGGAAGCAAAACCAGGTAACAATATTTTTATTCTTAGTTACAGAGCTAATGTTGCTGTTAGTTTAGTACTAAAAAAGGCTTACTACCCACCAATGGGGAGTTACACAGAGTCTCCCAGAGCCTTATTATTTTCCCTACTCCATTGCTCAATATGGTTTCACACTACTGGATTAGGTGAGAATGGGGATATTCCATAGGCAAAAACATCTGGAATATGGCTTTAAGTGAACCTCAGCAGAGACTCCAGGTTTCAGGAGACATTTCTTGGAGTTCTTCAAAGCCTAGTATAATCATGTTTAATCTGTGGGTTTATTTCTGATAACACACCAGAGTTATAAAATCATGAAATCATAGGCTACTGAGATTTGAAGGGGAAGAGGACAAGAACTTACCAAGCATGTGCTAGAGCTGAGGAATAGCGTAAGATTCCATTTTCATCCCATCACTAGGAGAGACATGCAACATGACAGTTATTACCCATGTTTCATATCTGTGGAAACAGTTCAATAGACAAAGTTTAGAAAGTCATTTTCCCAAGATTTTCACGTTAATAAATATTGGAGCTAGAATTGTGCCCAGATCTGGTTTACTCAAAACCCAGGGTGATATCACTAAGAGATTGTCCCAGACTAACAATCATTTTATTAAGAGGCAACATTGATCTAAAATAAGGGCAATCTTTCTAAGTTTACACTGCTATTTAATGAGTAAGTCCTAGTTCTGGTACCATCTAATTACTCACCTGAGGCAAGTCAACAAAACCCTCAGGCTCTATGGATGCTATTTCTTCATTATAAAAAATTATGTAGGGCTTCCCTGGTGGTGCAGTGGTTGAGAGTCTGCCTGCCGATGCAGGGGTCATGGGTTCGTGTCCCGGTCCGGGAGGATCCCACATGCCGCGGAGCGGCTGGGCCCGTGAGCCATGGCCGCTGAGCCTGCGCGTTCGGAGCCTGTGCTCCGCGGCAGGAGAGGCCACAACGGTGAGAGGCCCGCGTACCGAAAAAAAAAAAAAAATTATGTAGCAGGATTCTTAAATAAAAACAAATTGAAGAATCCAAGTCTAGATGTATATACAATACTATCTTCTTCCTTTAATTCTTACCAGAGCTTACCTGACAACTGATCATAAGCTTGAGTCTAGTTTTTCTTGTAAATAATGTATCTTTTTAATGTATCAAGGCTTAAAAATGCCTAACTACTATCTTATTATTTATTTTCCCGAGTACATTTATTTGCTGCAGATGAGTACGTGTCACCAGATATGAACACTTTGCATTTTACCTCTTTTTTTTTTTAATCAGAAACCCAATACCATTTAAAACTTCTATTTAGTCCTAGTAATATTTAAAACTTTCATTTATTATTATTAAATACTACAATTTTGCAGGTGATTTAATTGAAATTTTTATAATTATGAATGTTTATTTTCTAGCTTCATCCGAAAAAGCTCAAATACACAGTATGTATCTTAATTTTATCTATAAAGTTGATATAGAATTTTTACAAAAAACTTAAATATCTTTAATAATACATATTTGCAATCTATACCTCAGTATTTATACTTTATTACAGCCTATGCTTTGGAAATTATAGGTGCTTAAATGTAAATAAAAATTCTTTGCTTGTATATGCAAACAAAACCTTTAAGTTTTTTATTTAAACTACATGAAATGACATGAAAATTAAGGAACAGTTTTTCTCCGTGGACACATTTGTTAAAATCTGTCAATATTTTTCTACTAAACAAATCACTGGACCACGTCACAGAGAAAAGTCTCCATATGTTAATTTATAAAGCTTCTAAATATCTGAAAAGATTTTCTTTTTATTATTTTCAGAACAAGACATAGTGAAACCAGAAAAGACTGTTTCTCATGGTAAACCAGGTATTTTGCGGGTGTTATTTGTACAGTAGTATCAAATTGTCTCTCAGTGTTCTAGTTTTAACAGGATGATGAGCTTAGAGTCAAATCTAAAGTTATTAGGGATGGTTCATAGTTCATACTGAGAACTTGACCTGCCAGATATAACTACATAGCTCGTGATCCCTTCCCATCAGAGACTTAGCTTAGCACAAAGACCATCTTTGCCAGCATTCAGATGAATGGTCTCTATATTTCGTTTTGTTTTGTTCTGTTTGGGGCAAGACATCACTAGAAAACTTGTAATTCAGAATGGCTCATTCAAACATGATCATCTTGAATTCCAAAAATCCCAAGAAAAGGAAATCCATATTTCCTCCTGCTTCCCTTCATCCTTCCTTCTTTCCTTCATCTTCTTATTCTTGGTCCTACATTTTGTAGAAAGTAGAGGTAAGCCAATGGGCTTTGCTCATAAGGAGAAATAGAGAAATTACCAAGACTAGCTTAATAATTAGTTTTTATTTAAGAATAGAAACTTTATTTAAATTTTAATTTAAGCCAATTAAATATGAATTTAAATTTGAGGTTGTGTCAAGCCCCAGTTATTCTGTAGAATATTGTCCTTTATTGTTTCCCTGATGTGAATATAGTTAGGCCAGAATCTTTACAAAGGTAAAAGCATACTTTCTTTGAACGTATCTTAGGAAACTTTTTGCTTATATTTTAAAAATTTTACTTTATACAATCTGTTTTCAATGGATTTGAGTCAGTTTGATTTTACTTGTTTACGCTTTAAAGAATATGAGACACCAACAACAGAAACCATAGAAATAAATAAAGCAGAAGCAGACTATGGGGAGGTGAGAAAAGCAGTCTGTATAGACATAAGCAAAACTTTAGAAACAACTTTTAGAACCTCCTAATATAATGAATAGTAAACCCTGTTACTTTCTTTTCTGTCCTAAATATCAACCATTTTTGAGGTGAAATACTGAGAGAAGGAGTTTAGTCTCTGAGTGTATAACAAAGGCATTGCCCTCTAGCCACATCTTTCTTTTATTTCAGTGATCACATTCATACTCTAAATTCTGTTTCCCAGTGAAACTTTCTAATCAGGATATTTGACTAACTGATTCATTCTCACTGCTGAATGCTTGAAAAGTTTAATTTTATATAGAATCATTTTACTAATCCCTCTGCTTTGACCCAAATCTATTTGACTATGTCTATAAAAACATACAGCACAGGGCTTCCCTGGTGGCGCAGCAGTTGAGAGTCCGCCTGCCGATGCAGGGGACATGGGTTCGTGCCCCGGTCCGGGAAGATCCCACATGCCGCAGAGCGGCTGGGTTCGTGAGCCATGGCCGCTGAGCCTGCGCGCCTGGAGCCTGTGCTCTGCAACGAGAGAGGCCACAACAGTGAGAGGCCCGCGTATCGCAAAAAAGAAAAAAAAAAAAACATACAGCACAGAAGACATCCCATAAATGCACCACCTTTGCCCTTCCCCAGCTTTGCAACATAAAAACTTGGGTTCCCAGGCTAATCCTGGGTTCTCAGGGAGGTATCTTGCTCAAGAAAGGTAAAAAATTGTTTCTTCCTATTCTTATTCAATAATGAAAAGGGAATACATGTTTTATGTGTACTTCAGTGTAGATAAATACAGTGAAATACAGTGAAGGCAAAGGATAGAGTATACTTTGGTTAGGAGTTAGGAGACCATTTGAATTAGGAAAACCTTTATGGCAAGAAAGCTGCAAAGGACATATGCAGCTGGACAAATTTTTTTTGTGCTTCCATCCAATTTGAATAAAAGATATCACTTGCTGTGTTACTGAGAAAACAGCTAAGTTTGTCTCAGTATTGGTGTTATTTCAAAGAAAATACAAAATATCAAGGTTGAAATGTGTCACTGTTTTGTACTGATACATTTAAAATTTCCACTTGTGTTAATATTTTTTCTTATCACAGATGAAAAAGTTGTCAAGCAGGCAAAAGCTATCACAATAGAAAAAACAGGTAAATGAGCTATTTTCGATTTTTCTTCTATGTATCAGTTTTATGTTATGTTGGCACAAACCCACACGTGCACAAACACAGACACACACATCTTTACTGAAGTATGTGCACTCTTAGTGCCATAAATTCTAAGATTCTTGATTCTTGTAAATAACTAAAAGTTATACTCAATAAAAATTAACAGTGGAAAACTAGAGTGATATACTTTAGTTTTTTAAGTGTGATTGACCTAAGCTTACAGATAATTCACAAGGAAATTTATGTCATGCATTGATTATCATGTACTATTTTTAGGTGTTTAATCTCATTTTCAAAACACATTTCCTCAAATTTTAAAATCACAGAAATTTGAAACCGTCTGCTGTTCATGTATAGATGGAATAATTTCCATTCATGAGAGCTCCACAGAGACTTATATGATTGTGTAACTTTTAAAAATCTGCCTTGAAGAATGATCAATAGAACATATAATATCAAAGCAAAAATATCAAACCATCATTTCATGTGAGAAAAAAGAGTGTACACACTCTTGAAATTCTGAAGTTCTTTCATAAAAGGATGAACAAAATTAAGTCTCCATCTCAACTGACATCTTGAAACACTGTATCTCCTCCCTTCGATCACAAGATGGAAATCCTACCTACCTCCGCCATGAATGGAGTCCCATTTCTTACTAAAAATAATTCCAAAGGAAAAGGCCTGTGAAATAATTTCTTTCTTTTAACTGAGATAATCATGATAATCAGGATTTGAATACAGTTCTCAGAGGAAAATATAATAGATTTCAGGAGATAACTAATTATTTATAGAAATTATAGACTGTATTTCATGAGAAAGAAACCCTATTTTCCCATTACCCCATACAACCATTGTACTCTATTCCAGTCATTGCCTTAGCTCATAATTTTAGTTAACATTCCTCTAATTTTCACCCTAAAGTGTTAAGCATCTCACTTAGTTATATGGGTATTTGGAGATTATGAAGAAACTAGCCCAATGTATTTGTGTCCCAAATATATAGATTGTTTCAAATTTTACATAAAATTTTGTGCGTCTTAGTTTTTCAATAAGCAGTGTGTTTAATGTATTTGCTGACAGTGAAATAATAGTGTTCAGAGAGAATGGATTAAGCTTAAGATAAGATGAGAACTTAAAATGAAGAAGGAATAAATACAAATGCTAAAGAGTTATTTTTTCCCATGGTTTGTATTCATCATATGCAATTTGCTTTCTTTTATTCTCCACAGTCAAACCCAAACCAACAAGTAAGAGACGAAAATAAAATCTGGAAAGTATCGCTTGGCCATTTTAACTTTAATTTGCTCAGGTTTTTATCCCAATTGTTATTTTTAGCATTGCCCAAGGCTAAAGTACCTCTATAGGTGATAAATTAACGTTATTGCTACAGCTTTAACATCTTTATCATTCACTACTAATTAATAATTCAGTATAATTATACAGAAGAAATCTTTGGAAGTTGTATCACTATTATTAATACTAAAAGAATAAGTCCATACAGGCTATAAAATAACACTAAGAAGTTAGGGTAAATGGGCAATCTTTTAAACATACATAATGAATAACAAAGGAAAATGAAATGATATACAATTTTTGGTGTTATGAACCACATACTGTTTTTAATCTGTTTCCTATAAGCAGCATTATTTATATGGTAGGTAGTTTTTGGTATTAATGTTATTCATAATTTTATGAATTATAAATGTTTTGCCATTTGTTTATTAAAGTCATGGAATTTTCTCATGAGTATAGATTTTAAAGATTGTCCATTTTATTGTTCAGGAGTCGTACAGATGTTACTGGTGTAGAGAGTTTAAAAGGTGACTATTGGGCTCAGAAAAGTGTGAATATTTGCCCATTGTCGCAGGTAGTAAATATGTCCAAAATTGTGTCAAAATTGTGATATTGGTTCATAAATATATTTGTGAAACAGAGGCTTGGGTGAAGATATGAGTGGCTTTTCTCAAATATTCTCTGGTTCATGTATGAAAAATGAATTGACAAGGTCCAAAGATGAATTTGGTGAGACCAGTTAGGAGGTCATATTAGTGATTCAGGAGATATGGCAAAATATATGGAGCCTAAAAAGAACATAATCACCTCCCAGAACCTATTGCATGTATTTTGAATATATATTTTATATTATTTTTACTTTAATTTATTATACTTTTGCAGTGTTATTATGACAGTTTAATAACTTGAATATTGGCTTCTTTTATTGTGCATGTTTATTTAACACTAAAATTTATACAACTTAAGTTCATGGAAGTTCATTCTTGAATGCTATCAATCCCTAATTTACAAATATCCAATTAAACCTTATGACAACATAGATCCCACATCTCCCCACTTACTTCATTGTTGGTGCAAGATGATGGGGAGGAAATAGTAGTGATTTCAGAGAATCTCCAAATTCAGGATGAGGGAAGGAAAGGACAGGTAAACCAGAACAGTTCAGGAGGACTAAACCTGCAAGTGATTAGTAAGAACTAACACTTGGCAGTGATCTGCTGTATTTCCAAATATTCTCAACTCCATTCAAAATATCCTACCCTACATAGCTTTATTTGAAATTCCACTTTGGTGAAAGAGATCTAAAATGTACTTTAATTCAAATATTTTTCAAAGGGCTGAGAAGAATGTCAATTCCACATTTTGATTACTGTTGTCATGTCCTAGATTTACTTGAGATTCATCTGTGAGAGTTCTAACTGAACCTGAAAAGAGAGGGTGTTCCAGAAAAATGAAAATACAAAGTGTTGCACTTTCTGGAATAAGGCAGGTCTAGGTTACATTTTCAACAAGAAACCAATGACTAGCACCAAATTGCTTCTGACCAGCACCAAATTGCTTCTGATGTGGCAAGAAAGGAAGTAGGAGTCAGAGAGGTAAAAAGGGAGCTTGTAAAATGCCAAAGGCAAATGTCATCTGGTTTGAAATACCCTCAAAGAATGATTCAACCTTCAGCAAAGAAAGAAAAATCCTCTTATTATTATTCTCCTTTTGGTCATATTCTATCTTCTTCTTATACCACATGGCCCAAAGAAGGCTAGCGCCTTCGAAGTATCTTACAGGATGTCCTGAGAATGAACCTGACCTTGTTTATAATGTGTTTCTATGGCAATATGCTTTCTGTGTTCCAAGTTACATGCAAATGACTTTGGAGGCATGCTGAGGATCACCTGCAAATATGTAAATACTAAATTGCTTGCTATGCAAACAATCTACAGAGTGTCAGTTAATTTTGATTTCTCTCTCTAGAAAAAGCTGAACATCAAGAAAAAGAATCTCCATCTATAAAAACAGGTGTTTTTGCCTTTCTGGTTTATATTCTGCCCTAATTCACTATTTTTATTAAATTTGAAAATTAAAGCAAAACATATAAGTACCTTTCATTTTATTTCCTGGTAACGTTTAGTCTTGTGGTTTTGTGGTAGAATCTAGTTTATCTAATATAAGGGCTGTGGTAGTGCTGGTAAACATTTTGCTAAATATTATAACCAATATATATGGATTGCTAAGCATTCTATTATAATACAGCAGTATTAACAAAATAGTATTTGCCTTCATGGTTCATAAGACCCTTCCAAAATATTCAGTATTTCACTGATGTCAATATTAATATCATTTATCGTACTGGTAATGTTGATTCACCGTTTATATACTGTAAAATATCCTATCAAATTGCATATATAACATTTCACTGAAAACTAATCATGAATTTCAAGTTGGTTTAATTGCTTAAAATAGAAGTTATCCCATTCTATAATAGCTTAATACTTTTACAACTATTATTCATTTTAAAAAATATATAATACTTGGCATGGTTCAACACTAAGGCATATACGGGGCTAACTGTGAAAATATCCCTCCCTCTCCTCTTTTTTCCTATTCTACCAGTTCCCATTCCCAAAATAGCCAAAAAATGTCTGATAGGTAATCATTGTTATTTTTTAATGTCTCCTTCTAGCAATATATATATAAAAGACATATACACATAAGTATATACAAATTATATATATATATTCCCACTTTTGTTACACAAATCATGACATACTATAAATAGCTTTGTCCCTAGGTTTTTCTATTTAAGGATGTATTTTTGAAGATTTTTTTTATATCAGTACATAAAGCATTTCTTCATTAATAGTATTCTATTGTACAGTTGTATACAGTTTACTTAACTAGTCTCTGATTGACCTATGTTTAAGTTATCTAACAAACTTTCTTTAATGATATACAATAAAAAAATATACCTACCTGTCTAGTTTTGTAAATTTATCTTTGGGGTAAAATTAGTAAATTTTTTTTAGTGCAATGATACATTCAATGTAATTTTTATAGACATCCCTAATTGTTCTTTAAAAAATTATATTAATTTGTATTCCCACCATTAATGAATTAGTTGACCTAATTTTGGATGATTCAATTTCTTCGCAATCATGATGAAATGTTGTCTAGTTTTTTTATGAATATTTACGTGTAAAACTGCATAACTAATGCTTTTAGTTAATAATTTCAGAAGACAAGGCATTTTGGAGAAAGAAATCATGTATTTAGATAGTATAGCTTTGTGTTTTTCACCCACCATTCACTTATCTTTCCTGAGATTTTATAAAGTCAGCTTCTTTATTCAAAATACTGGATTGCAAGAGTTTAAATAGTTAATATTAATTAATATTAATATGTATTCTGAAAAGACATGGCAGAATATACCTTTTATGCCATTCAGAAACAGTAAGGAGTTCAGATTACCCTGAGCATTCATTTTTCATAAAATGAAATATGAGGCTTTACAGGGATAATAAGAAGAGACCAAGAAGACCCTATACTTTCAAGCTTTACAACTTCTTTGAGGAATTCATTGCAATATGACTTAAAAATTACTCAAAATGCATTGCCTACTGCTCATTTTAATATAAGTTTAGCCTTTTCCTATTTTAATTCAAACAAACAGAATTAGGAAATATAAAGGGCTGATATTTTACCGATAGCTAGAAAATGATCACTGACTTTTTCTTTTATTTTCTTTCTTTTCTTCTTTTTAGACAAACCAAAACCAACTCCAAGTAAGTGTACCGTTCTAAAATTTTAAGAATTTTCTATATAATTAATTTTAATTTTATAGTTTCTTTAAATTGTACATGCAGTAAAAATTAGTATGGTATTTCATTAATGCAATAGATATTACACCATTACCTATATAAATGATTCTTACTGACAAAGAATATTTGTGTGTATTGTATTCATTAATCCTTGAACATGTATTTATTGAGTGCCTATTAGATACATTACTCTATACCAGGGTATGTGAAGAAATGCCTAAAATGACTTGTGTTGTCATTATCTGTGTAATTAACACAGTTACCATAACTAATACCTGTGCAAAAAAAAAAAAAAAATGTGGTTTCATCTCTCTTTTATGTACTTTCAGTTTTTTGTTAGGGTTTATTGAGTAAACACAGTGTGGAGATTCCTCTTATCGTCACTGCTGGGTTAAAAAAAAGTTCAGAAGGGCTTCCCTGGTGGCGCAGTGCTTGAGAGTCCGCCTGCTGATGCGGGGGACGCGCGTTCGTGCCCCGGTCCGGGAAGATCCCATATGCCGCGTAGCGGCTGGGCCTGTGAGCCATGGCCGCTGAGCCTGTGCATCTGGAGCCTGTACTACACAACGGGAGAGACCACGGCAGTGAGAGGCCCGCGTACTGCAAAAAACAAACAAACAAACAAAAGTTCAGAACACAGAATACCTGTCTTCAATTATTTAATCTTAACACATTAACTTTTTATTTTCATATTTTTTCAAAAGCTGAAGGTGAGTTATTTTAGTATTTCAGAATCACTGTTTTATTTTGGCATTTCAAACGGTAGTAAGAATACAACAATTTATAAAATTTTTGAAAATTTATGAAATTTTATGCAATTTCATAAAAATGAAACTGTTTATTTAGTACTATTAAATTAAGACCCAGACATTATCCTGGGGGGAAATATTTGCATATCAATCAAGAGTGTATCTAGAAGTTGTGCCTAAAGTTTTTCTTTGGGTTGGCAAAAATCTCTAGTATATTTAGTTTGTGTAATTGCTACTAATATGAAGGGTATTACAAAAATTAAGGGCTGAAAGTCAAAACTAGAATACTAATATGAAATATCAGCATAATTATTGGCAAATACTGTTTATGAAACATTATTTTACATCTTCATTCTTATAAAATGTTTTAACTAGTTTTCCTTGAACTTTGAAAATAGCTTCCAAAAAAGTTATATTAGACTGATAATTAAATGTATCGGTTTTATAGAAAATATTATCATTTGAACTGATTTGTGAGGAAAGCTATATTTTTAAAGACTGCCATGTTATATTTTTTAAAATAATTGTTCTATGAATTTACTAAAAGAGCAAAATGAAAGGTTGGTTCTACATTATCATAGGCTAAGACAAATAACATTTTTATGTTTTGTCTCACTACTCTGACTGTAGTCATCATGAGTTGAGTTTACTTTTGTGATATTTTAAAATCTCCTCTCTCAACACCACCCATTGCACTCAGTTCAACATCTTATTCATGAAGTTGCTTTATAAATATTTAATAAATGAATGTATGCATGCACATGTGCAGATCGTGTTAAAAATTTATGCAATGGAGGGGCTTCCCTGGTGGCGCAGTGGTTGAGAGTTGGCCTGCCGAGGCAGGGGATGCGGGTTCGTGCCCCGGTCCGGGACGATCCCACATGCTGTGGAGCGGCTGGGCCCGTGAGCCACGGCCGCTGAGCCTGCGCGTCCGGAGCCTGTGCTCCGCAACGGGAGAGGCCACAGCAGTGAGAGGCCCGCATACCGAAAAAAAAAAAAAATTATGTAATGGAGATTTATAATTGTAATTGAGAAAACCACCCAAAGATCTTCAAATTGATTCTTTCTACCATATATGAATCGACTGTTTAAGATTAATTTGTAGAGTGGTTCTATTTCCAGAATAGATTCCAGTTACAGTTTTCAGAAATATTAGTTACCAGTATGTCTCTTTGCCATTTTGACTATGTGTCTGTTGTCATTATTATTGGAATTTAATAGGAAGTACATGCAGATGAAGTTCAGTTGTCTGCTACTGAAAAACAAAACTATTCTTTCCTTTTATTTTTCTTCCTTTTTTCTTTTTTCTTTTTTTCTAAAGAGGAAACATCAGAAGTAACAACATCAGGTAAATATTTACTTTCCCAGAGGAGGTAACATAGATCTGTGGGAACAGTATTTAAATTTGAGTCTCTGTCTAGCTGTGTGACATTTGGGAAAATACCTTAACAGCTCAGATTCCCAGTTTCCTCTTCTATTAGACCAGGCATAATGACTTCCCCAAAGACTTGTTATAAGTATTAAATGAAATAACATAATAACATTCCCACTACATACTTCGTTGTCAGCATTAAATATTGATTTCCTTCTTACTCTTGTCTGATAAATATGGTTGAAGAAAAGCATCAATCAACCAAAACTCTGTTTTAAAAAGCATGTGTCCACATTTTGCCCAGAGATATGTTGTGACTCCACATTTTTTTTACTCAACAGTTTATTTACTGAGCATCCATAGCACCGATCAAATTCTCATTTCCTACAGATAACAATAAAAAATTTAGATTTTTTTCTGTTACTCATTTAAACTTATTAATAAATGCATGGCTTCCTCTAGCTTTACTTCAGAGCATGTGAAAAACAAAAACAAAAGGAGGGGGCTCTGCCTTACAAAGCCAAGTAACCAAGGGTAACAAAAATACATATGTTCTCACACATGGGAGGGAGACTTTTTCTTCACATCTTGAAAAAGTAGAGCCTTGACCCCCTTTCACTTATGGGATTAAATTTCAACTCCAAATATTTACTCCAAGATGGAGTAAGAAAATTATGTTTTATAAACCAATGGTTTCTTGTTATTTTACCCTCTAGTGAAGAAGAATATTGAAAAATCTGAAAAGGAAAGTAAAGGTAAAGACGTCTTAAGACATGTATATCAAATTAGTGACAAAAACACAGGAATTGGGCTTCCCTGGTGGCGCAGTGGTTGAGAGTCCGCCTGCTGATGCAGGGGACACGGGTTCGTGCCCCGGTCCGGGAAGATCCCACATGCCGCGGAGCGGCTGGGCCCGTGAGCCACGGCCGCTGAGCCTGCGCGTCCGGAGCCTGTGCTCCGCAACGGGAGAGGCCACAACAGTGAGAGGCCCGCGTACCAAAAAAAAACACACAAAAAAACAAAACCAAAACCAAAACAAAACACAGGAATTCAAAAATATGTAATTATACAAATTATACTACTTAAAAGCAATTCATGAAAATATGGACACTGATTTTAAAGCATGTGTCAGAACCGCAGCTCATTTTGGTGTTACCCATGCAACGGGTGTATGCATTGCATTATTATTAGATATCTAAAGGGAACAGGAATTTAGATCTCAAAGCAAACTCCACCTATTATTGCTAAATTAGCACCATAAAGTTCTTTTCATATAACTCCTGAATTGTAAATATTGACTACAAAATATGTAATTCCAAACCTTAGGAAGACCTGTGAATAAATATGTATATGACTCTAATTACCATTTTATCTCTATAGAAAAAGCAGAAATGAAACATCTTAAAGAAGAAAAAGGTAATTTTTAAAAGATTGAAAGGCCCTGAAGTCAAAATATTTTGAGTCAAAATTTATTTCAATTTTAAATAAAACTTTTGTTTATGTATGTGATGATTGCTGGTCTGATTAAAAAAAGAAATGTAGTCAATAATCCTGCCTATGTGGTAATGGCAGTGTCAAAGGAGCAATGGATGGCAGGCCACTCCTTCAGTATGCAGTCATGTGTGGGGTCATTGGTAAGGAGCTAGTTAGAGGCTGCTTTGTAAGTTGCTTTTTTTCTTAACATTAGGTTTATTTATTTAGTAAACTACATAATATAATATGATAATCACTGATTTCCATGTAGTTATCTAAAAAACTTGCAAAGGCCTTAATCATCAGAGAAATACTCTATAGAGTCATGAGGAAAGCATTTTAGCCATACCAAAAAGATTGTTAACAACAAAAGACAACACTTTTTTTCTGGTTTATACCTAAATTCAGTTAATTGTAATGACCCATTGTCCATGGGCTCTAATTCATTTCAGTACCCTGAAATCACTGATTATGTTATATCTTTGTTTATGCAAACAAAAGTCATTTATTTTTGTTAAGTGTTAGTAGAAAAGAAATTTTTTTTAAAGCCTCAAGAAAATATTTACATTTAAATTATTCTCACGTTGCTAAAGCTTAGAGATGAAGTGAACCAAAATTTTATGAAAATTTTCTTTAAAAATTCATATTTTAATTTACATTTTCTTTATATACAGTGCCAACTAGAAAAGAAAGTCTTCAATTACACAATGTGACAAAAGGTAATCTTGAACTTTGTAAAGATTCAAATGCTATGTTGATGTGGAGGTGCCTGAATTACATTGGTGCTTAATATTAACACTAAATATTTTTAAAGCAAGGAAGTCTAGCAGGTATACACTACTGCTAACAGCAGAAGAAGTAGACAGGTAGGAAATCTAGCAGAAAGCTTACATTTCAGTGGAAAACTATGAAATGTGGAGAAATAGAAACTATTAACAACCTAAACCTTCATAAGATATTTGAGTACACACCAGAAGAAAAATTTCTTTTATTACAAAAGACTTTCACAGCATGACTACAGTCAAGAATGAGAGAGTAGTAAAAAGAGGAAGCCGAGATGCCGAGGTTCATTTTATCTATGACTACATAAAATGTAGCTAATATCATGTATATATTTTTATTATTTATATACTGGTCATTGAAATTAATTCAATGTAGACGCAAAGTGGGTAGTAGAAGGCAGATGCCAGCATGCACATGTCAGGTAGATGTTCTTTACCTAAAATGAGAATGACCTATTTTGGTGATATTATCATAAAACTATAAGAGTACAGCTGAATTATGTAGTCTGGGTCATAAAATTTTAGGGGAATGTAATTAATCCAAAATGTAACAAAACGTAAATGCTTTAAATTTTAAAATGCTAAGTAAACATGAGCAAGAATTTTCATTCATAGTAAATACATAGATCTCTAGTGTGTGTGTGTACCGGGGGTGGGGGGCAGGGGTTGGGGAGGAATCTTGTTTTTCACTGGTTCCCTGTTGTTTCTTACTGTAGTATGTATACTTGCAATGGCAGGGCATATCTAGACAAAATTATCAGTAATATTAAGGGGTAACATTTAGAATAAGAGAAATATCAAATTTGTACAAAGATACAGGAACACAATTTTTATATTGGAACTTTCTGCAAAAGCTTGATACCTTTTAAGATATTTAGCCAGAAGAATGAAAAGAAATGGATTATTTTGAAAACCTGTAGCTATATCCTTTCCTATTATTAGCTCAATTTCCTCCTTAGTACAGGAACAATTATCATTCCCAGTTTAAAGCTGAGTTAATGCTAGATGAAGGGAAGTCTAACATCTCAGTGTTTACATAATAGAGACAGGAATTGCCTCCAAGTGGATGTGACATCAAAGACTTAAGCCCATTACATTTCACTATCCTACCATACTGTGGCAAATATAAGGGAAAGCTTTCTACCAATCAGAGCAGCCCAAAGATAAAATGTACCCCACTTTGTCCCCAAGGAAGTGGTCTATTAGTGCTAAGACTAGAGGGCTGCACAAGGGATTCTAGGGATTTGGACATTGGATGGATACTCCTTTCTTACTCTATTCTGTGAGGCCATTATTTCTAAGATCTTCATATTATGAATACACAGAAGGGAAAAATTGTTATATGTGAAAGCACAAGTCCAACCTAAAGCTGGTTGAGAATACAGGCACATTCTTATTCATTCCTTCACTCTACGAATGGTTCATTGCATCTCAATAAATGTTTATTTTATTCCTTTCTAAGTTCCTGTCTCTTTAGGCAACGCTAGTATTTTTAAAGGAAAAATTATAACATTAGCTTTACTAAAGCATTTTTATGAATTATTTTGTTTGTTTTGCAATTTTATACATGTGCTGCTGTAATATCACGGAAAACATAAGTATCCCCCCCACAAAAATAAACCTTTCTGTTGGCATTAACCTAACTTTTTAAATTTGTAATTCTTAGGTTTATATCAGAAACTCTACAAGTCTCAAAGTAAAACATGTTATGCAGATTCCTTAAAAATTATATTTTCAAACCTAGCCCTTTAAATGAGACTAATGTTAATGGATATAGATGTTACCAATCCTCTTTGTTTCAGAAAGTTAGAATGTCTGCTATAGTATTTGGGACAATCATTCCACTTTATATCTTTGTCCTACATTCATACAGTTTAATGGAAAAACATATTTGAAGAATTATAATCCCTCATTGAAACTAATAAATAAATGACTATGAAAAACTAAGCTGATTTTGCATTTTGCTTTTTAAGATTTATATTTTATAGTCTAATGGGTAGTTATTTGTCTTTATTCATCTGTGAAAGGAAAATAATTCTCAATAATATATTTTATGGAATTTGGAAACTGTAAAGCAAATATTTAGATTAATTACATCATACAAAGCAATTTCACTGGAGTTAGGTATAATTATAGTTAAACCAAAGCAATTTAACAAAGATCCTGCTGATTTTAATGAGTGTTTAAAAAGCATAAATATGCTGTGAAACCTGCAATGATTAATAGCTTTTCTGATGTCTCACATAAAAGCGATTAAGTTATTCAAAGATCCATTTTTTTTAACATCTTTATTTGAATATAATTGCTTTACAATGGTGTTAGTTTCTGCTTTATAACAAAGTGAATCAGTTATACATATACATATGTCCCCATATCTCTTCCCTCTTGCATCTCCCCCCCTCCCACCCTCCCTATCCCACCCCTCCAGGCAGTCACAAAGCACCGAGCTGATCTCCCTGTGCTATGCAGCTGCTTCCCACTAGCTATCTATTTTACGTTTGGTAGTGTATATATGTCCATGCCACTCTCTCACTTTGTCACAGCTTACAAAGATCCATGTTATCAGGCAATAGAGAGTTACATTTCTTCACCAACTCCTGAACAATAAGGAAGAAAGTCAAAAGATATTAGATACATTTATATAGCCTATTGATGTATAACTTCTTTGCATTTTACCTGAGTTAAGCAAGACTTTTTTTCTTTATTTTTAGCAGAAAAACCTGCAAGAGTATCAAGTAAGTACTGCTTGTATTGATGATAAATTCTCTTTGGCACACAGTATGAATTTCAAGCTGAAATTCATGGAATATTTATTTTTTAACGTGTTCAGAGATTGAGTCATTTCATACTAAACCCTCTGACAGGAATTTGATAACTTTTCATCTTATTTATGTTGAAACTCAAAAAACTAAACTACGTTATTTGAAATGATAACTTGTAGCAGAAATACATGTTATTGAACCTGAAGATTAAAGTGACTTGCATTCAATACATCAGTCTTTTCAGTGACTCAGGTAGAATGGAATAAATAATCCTGCTTCTGCCTTAAAAATTTGCTACAGAGCACATATGGTTGAGCAATAATGTTTCCTTTGCTGTTGTTTTCTAATGCCCATTAGCTTAATTATAATTATGTATCTGAGAAGAATACATAGTAAGGAATGGATCTAATCTTGTATATAACATAAAGAGACCAAACTCTCAGAAAATACTCTCTGAAATGCCACAATCTGGGTGTGGATAGCTCAAATTATACAGGATACAACTATAAATTTCCCTATAAATTCTAAAATTCTGGGAAATAGCAAATTTCCTTCCCATGTTTCTGGATTTAAGAAGACAAATCATTTTAAATCAGTGCTATATAATGTAATGTCATGTGAGCCACATGTATAGTTTTAAATTTTCAAGTAGACACATTTAAAGGGTAAAAAGAAACAGGCAAAAACAATTTTAATAATTTTATTTAATTCTATATATAAATATTATTTCAATATGTAATCAATATAGAAGTATATTGATAATTTACATAATTTTAATTGAGCCTTTGAAATTGTGTGTGTATTTTACACTTAAGTCACATTTCAATTTGTACTAGTCACATTTCAATTCCTTATAGCCCAGGTGGTCAGTGGCTACTGCATTGGGCAGAGCAGATCTCAGTGTCTCTTGAGTGCTTCTGCTGTGTTCAACATTTAGTGAGTACTGAGGACAATACAAGACAATTGGTAAAGGTGGTACTTGCCATATATCTCATTCAAATTTCTTTGACTGCAAGTAATAGAGCCCCACATGGACTTGCTTCAGGCATTTAAAAAAAGGGAAATAATTACAAGGGTACAGAATTGTCTCACTGATTCAAGAGCAAAGCTTATATTTCATGCTCAGGAAAGCCCTCTGAAACTATCCCACTCCGTACCCTTCCCCTACAGCCAAAGGTAGTCAGGACAGACTTCATATAGGAGGTAACTCCAGGATTTGTATTTAAAAATGGTTAGGATTGGATAATTAGAAAAAGAGGGTATAAAGAAACTCACTGCTCCTGTGTGTTTCTCCATTACTCTCACGCTACTACCACACTCCTAACACTTCTGACACCACGCAAGTAGGATTGTTTTCACGCCAAGTGATTCTCTGTGACACCAGCTAGATGTCCTACAATTCAATTCATTTCTGATACTAACTGGAGTTAGCATATCATAGGTTAAGGACTCAGTTCCATGAGATTACTCCTCAAATTCAGATGCCAGTCAAAAATAGTAGGTCCCCTGGTTATCCACAACTTCTGTCCTACTTGGCTACAAATTAGACTCTCCCATGACATGCCTCCCTTGTATTAAATTATTTGGTAGAACAGATCACAGAACTCAGGGGAAAGCTTACTTAGGTTTACCAGTTTATTATATAATAAAAGATATGATAAAGGATACAAATGAACAGCCTGATGAAGAGATATGCAGGATGACACCTGGAAGGGTCTGAGCACAGGAGCTTCTGTCCCTATGGAGTTGGGGTGCACCATCCTTCTGGCATGTAGATGTCTTCAGCAACTCAGAAGATTCTTGAACCTCGTACTTCTGGGACTTTTATGGAGGCTTCATCACATAGGCATGATGGATCCTTAACTCAATCTCTAGCACTCTCCCCTTCCTGGAGGGTGGGGTGTGAGGCTGAAAGTGCCACATTTCTAATCTGGCTTGGTCTTTCTGATGACAAACCCCTATCTAGAGGCCCACCAAGCATTGCCAAATTAGAACAAAAGACTCTCCTGTCACCCAGGAAATTCCAAGGGATTTACAAGCTTTATACCAGGAACTAGGAGCAAAGACTAATATATATATATTTCTATTATTTCACAGTGGGCAAACAAGCATAGTATATAGAGGCAATCAAAGGAAGAGTTGGCTGGAGTTGAGGGCTTGTGTTTTTAAAAAATTTTTCTTGAAATATAGTTGATTAACAATGTTGTGTTAGTTTCAGGTGTACAGTAAAGTGATTCGCTTCAACACATACATATATACTTTTTTTTTTACATTCTCTTCCATTATATATTATTTCAAAATATTGAGTAGAGTTCCCTGTGCTATACAGTAGGTCCTTGTTGGTTATCTATTTTATATATAGTAGTGTGTATATTTTAATCCCAAACTCCTAATTTATTCCTCCTCCCTCTTTCTCCTTTGGTAACCATAAGTTTATTTTCTATGTCTGTGAGTCTATTTCTGTTTTGTAAATAAGTTAATTTGTATCCATTTTTTAGATTCCACATATAAGCAATATCATATATTTGTCTTTGTCTGGCTTACTTCACTTAGTATGATAATCTCTGGGTTCATCCATGTTGCTGCAGATGGCATTATTTCATTCTTTTTTATGTTTGAGTAATATTCCATTGTATATATATACCACATCTTCTTTATCCATTTTTCTGTTGATGGACCCTTAGGTTTTTTCAGTGTCTTGGCTGAAAATACCTGTCTTTACTATTGTAAATAGTGCTGCTATGAACATTGGAGTGCATGTGTCTTTTTGAATTATGTTTTTCTCCAGATATATGACAAGGAGTAGGATTGCTGCATCATATGGTAGCTCTATTTTTAGTTTAAAAAAAATTTTTTTTATTTTTAGTTTTTTAAGGAAGCTCCATACTGTTCTCCATAGTGGCTGTACCAATTTACATTCCCACCAACAGTGTAGGAGGGTTCCCTTTTCTCCACACCCTTTCCATCATTTATTATTTGTAGACTTTTTGATGATGGCCATTCTGACCAGTGTGAGGTAGTTTTGATTTGCATTTCTCTAATGATTAGTGATGTTGAGCATTCTTTCATGTGTTTGTTGCCTATCTGTATATCTTCTTTGGAAAAATGTCTATTTAGGTCTTCTGCCCATTTTTGGATTGGGTTGTTTGTTTTTTTGATATTGAGCTGCATGAGCTGCTTGTAAATTTTGCAGATTAATCCTTTGTCAGTTGCTTCATTAGTGAATATTTTCTCCCATTCTGAGGGTTGTCTTTTCATCTTGTTTATGGTCTCCTTCGCTGTACAAAAACTTTTAAGTTTCATTAGGTCCCATTTGTTTATTTTTGTTTTTATTTCCATTTCTCTAGGAGATGGGTCAAAAAGGGACTTGTTGTGATTTATGTCATAGGGTGTTCTGCCTATGTTTTCCTCTAAGAGTTTTAGAGTGTCTGGCCTTACATTTAGGTCTTTAATCCATTGTGAGTTTATTTTTGTATATGGTGTTAGGGAGTGTTCTAATTTCATTCTTTTACATGTAGCTGTCCAGTTTTCCCAGCACCACTTATTGAAGAGACTGTCTTTTCTCCATTGTATATTCTTGCTTCCTTTGTCATAGATTAATTGACCATTTGTGTGTGGGTTTATTTCTGGGCTTCCTATCTTGTTCCATTGATCTCTATTTCTGTTTTTGTGCTGGTACCATGCTGTTTCAATTACTGTATCTTTGTAGTATAGTCTGAAGTCAGGGAGCCTGATTCCTCCAGTTCAGTTTTTCTTTCTTAATATTGCTTTGGCTTGTGTTAGAAAGTAGTGAAAAGTAAGGACAAGTAGGGTGAAATTATGAGGTAGAGAACCTGCAAGCCAAAAAACTTTAGACTTATTGCCACAGAAGGCAGTGGTTTATTTTATATAAAGGAGTGAAATGTGAAGGAATTGTCAGAAAGTCTAATCTCACAAGAACAGTAGTAATAGAAGTAGTAAGAATAAGAGTAGTAACTGAAAAGAGAAAGGTGTGAGGAAGAAAGTATATTGCTTCTTATGGATAATAAGATATAAATGTCCAGGGCATCATGGAATGATACATTTTAATAAGTTGGTTTCTAAGTATATGAAAATTATATTTTTATAGCACATATTTTTTGACATGCCTTTTTAGAGGCAACTATCAAAAACTGCCTCAGATACTTATTAAATCGAACATACTAAAGATCATTTAAAGTAAAGAGCCATTGTTCTTTTCCTGAACCCTTTTCCAACATTATATAATTTTTCTTTTGTCAGACTTCTTATTTATTTTTCAGTTACTTATTGTCTTTAGCTAAAGGAGGCTCAAGAAATAGTTCCTGCTTTGAGCCCATTGCTTCCTTCCAACCACATTCTCTACTCTAGTGCCTGTATCTCTTGTCTTCTGAACAGGACCAGGTCCTCCACCTCTGATAGGTCATTTTTTCTGCTTTGGTGCTGAATGCACAGAGAATGTACTTCATTTCCAGATTTTTTGGTGGGGGTGGGGGAGGTTGTTAATATGTGGGAAAAGACTGCTGTAAAAGAGAGGGGCAGTATCTCTTTCTGAATTCTCGTGGCTTGCTCTGATTAAGATTCTTGAAACCATCCCAGGGGACTGGATTCTCAAATACCTAGGGTTTTATTATAGGGATAAAAAAGAATCAGCAATGCAATAACATTTCTCTATTACATCAGTGAAAATTACATTGCAAAATCAAATTTTTCATGATTCACAAACTATTATGGATTAATCAATGCCTGTTTTTGTGGATTTACTTTTTCAAAGGATGTAGCTTTCTTATTTCTAAATAGTCATTTAATTTTCATTCTATATTTTTTCTTTGTATATATGGTAAATATATAATGAATAATTACCTTTCCATGGAGTTTGCAGGAAGACATCAAGAGGCGTGATATTGTATTATATTTAAGATCTATTACCTTAAAAATTAAAAGCAAAAGAAATATCCATATTCTTGAATTTTAAA